TATGTGAGGCGCGTGTGGAGCCGCCAGCGTCCCGTAAACGCCAAGGAACAGTAGCAGAAACTGCGTGAAAAAGCATGTTTGTGTTTGCAACGCGTACATGCAACCATGTATTGTGGGAAATTTTCGTTCGCGCGATTTACGAGAGTAATTGCTTTCGGATTCGGACGTACAGCGAACGAACGCGCCAAAATAAATGTCCGCGGACTCGCGCTGACGCTGTTGCAAAATTACGATTCCTTTATTGCGTCGCGTGAATGCGCGAAATCACCCGACGATTCCCGCGCGCCCGCGGCGAAATCACCTGAAAGATTGAATTTCAGGAGAGAGACCCCGTGAAAATTTTAACGCGCCCGGATTCTCGACGCGACACTCGCGGCTATATAGAATAGAAGTTAGGAGAGAAATACATGTGGAAAATCACTCACACACACTCCCGCCTACGTTTCCATATAGACACGCTCTCGGCCTCCACTTCACTTGACCCAAATCGCGATCAGGTTAAAAGATAACCCACTTTCTCGCGATTGACTAGAAATTCTTCGAACGGGACAGAGTTATTTTTACACACTCTGGACAAAAAAGATTTTACCTGCGTCACCAATCGCGCGAGGACAGGTTTTGTGCCGAAGATGACCGCGCTCCGCTCCTTTGCGCTCGGAAAAATCAATCGCTAATTTTAACTCGCGCAAATACTTACTCACTTCTACACAAAACTGACACGTGACATTTGACATATACACACGCACACACACACAAACAGAGGCACAGAGTATAGGTATTATATAAATAATTGCAATAAAATCACTGAATGATTTTCTTCGTGTGACATTTAAAAAAACGTGCGATCTATAAAACTGACATTTAATTTGACATTTTAGTAATAAATTAAAAACCTTTCGTCAAAAATAATTGATTGCAATAACTTGTTGAGATTGTTGTTGATCTAACGTTCGTTCGAATCAAATTTTAACAAGTTGATGTTACTCTTCCGTTATATCGATCGTGAGCAATTAAGTGGGCAGTTAACTCTTATCGCGCGCGTATATAATGGAGAATCTTTCCCGGAAGAACAATCTAATCGCGATATTTAATTATTGACCTTTACCGTCGTCTCCGCGCCCTTACTTCCAACAACTTCGCCTTATCCCCTTCGTCTTCACGGCGGCGGATTTATAATTAAATTTCGGCGGCTAAAATTAGGCAAACGACGAACCCTCCCCCGCCCGTATCAACGTGCTTACCATTCGCGTAAGTTTAGCGACGCGAAAATCCAATTATAAGCCTTGTTACCAATGGTGAGATAAAATTAGCCATAGGGCCAGAATAACTCCGTTTGACGTTATCAGTCCCCAAGGATGTTTCATTTTCACAACAAAATAAAAAAGGTCAATCAACAAGCCTTGTGTTTCATATTTACGCGCCTACGTCTCGCGTTTCTCGACTCTAATTGGCTTCTCCGTTTTAATTGTAATTTCATTATAATTTGTATTACCGAGAGTTTCTTGCGCGCGTGTGTGTGTGTATGTGTGTTACTCTCCTTTTCTCTAAATATATACATTTGCGTTCTCTGAAAATTCGAGATACAAGAACAAATAACGAGAAACGATGTCTCTCACGTTTTACGTTTTCCGCGCAAATTCTCTTTCCCGTCTTCTTTGAGTCTCGCCGCGCGAGGAAACTTACGGGATCTTCCGAAATTTCAAAATGCATTCAGCGGGGAAATTTGCACTTTTCTCTCTCGGGGAAAGAATTACGCGATCGCGGCCGGCCACGCGAATTCGCGAGAAACAACGCGCACGCGATATCATCTCGCGTCTTGTCACGAGATCTTCTTCTCTTACCTCGATCATGTTTGCTCGGTGCGCCGCGTCCAACTATCTGCGGGAATGGCGCGATGTGATACTTTTATATACACGTGCACGCGCGTGTGTACGTGTCCTACCGGTCTTACCACGCGAATCGATGTTTTATTTTGACGATCTTGCCCGGAGGCAACATTTTTTGAGGAGATTTATTTTTTTCTTTCTTCTTCTTGTTGAAGTTATTGCTCTCGGCAGCCACCGTTCGCAATGGCGTAGCCATGCGAGAGACGAGACGGAGAAGCGCGTCTAACCGAACGGAATGTAACGAGATCGCGAGACATTCGCGCTTGTAAGATTTTTTTTTTTTGACCGCGGAAAACGACTCGAGCGATTTTTCTCCGCGCTCAAAAAGATTCGGCGCGCAGTTTTCTCGGCCACGTAAACATTTTATATGAAATCATTTCTATAATGAGACGAGAGACACTCGCGGTATTCGATATTTTGCGGCAATATCGAGACTGTGTGTATGCAATCGATATTTTTAACCGGTCTCTCTGACGTTTTGCAGAGTCTTATGCAATAATAAGCGAAGTAATGAAAACTGGTTTCTTCAGAATCTTACAAGCGCGTGTTATTATTCTAATTGTTGTAGTAATGAGATATTACTCGTCGCAACTTGCAATGACGTCCGCGAGAGCGCTCTCATGTGAGCGCTTATCCTTCGAGAGGATCTCACGTGTATTCCCAGACAAATTAATAAATAATCAAAGATCTCTCTGAACAGCGTTTCCACGCGGGTAATCTATTAAGCACGATCGCGCTATTATTACTCGCCCGAGCCGGGTACACACAATCTTCCGCGCGGGAGAATGTTTGTAAAATCGATCTGTGCAATTCGGTTTCCTTCGCGCGAGCAAAAATAAGCGGAGGCGCAATAACAGGCGCGATACGGGAGATCTCAAATTTTCGGACGGGAAATTTGATGTTCCGCGGACGTGTTTGTTAACGTCTCGGGTAGTGAGGCGTGTCCCACCTGTGTTTCGGGAGACGATTTCATTTCGAACGATAATGAAGTGCCGAACGTGACGGGATTCCGAAATTATGTCACGATTGCATTAGTAACGTAATAATCGCGCATATACTCCGAATAATGATGTGGTTAGTATATAATCGCTCCTTAATTGCTACGCGCGCGAATCTATTTGATTAACGCGATTATTGCAACGAGTTTCGCGAATACGCTGGAATTTCGATATGAATTTGAATTTCGATTCTAAAACAGACGCACGCGATAATCAATTAGATAATTGCGCTCTAATAGCTTTATTTACGCGTATTATTGACTCTTTCTCGGAATGAAATCTAATATTGTCTTTGAAGAATTATCTCTCTCTCTCTCTCCGGAGTTTTTATTCTCTTCCACAAAGTCCTGTTAGATCATTACCACGTCGAATCGATCATTCATAATCAACGACTTTATACATAAATGCAAATTGAACGCATCTATAATTGCGGATCCAACGTGTATATTTTCAGATTTATTAACTTCCGCCAGTTGAATTGAAAAATTAAAACAAGATTGTTTTATATTTCTTCTATGCAAAACCTAAAATGTTATTTTGAAGTAATAATAGAAAAATAATTGCTGCTTATGTTTGATGATAATTATCATTTTTAGAGATGAAAACTGACTTGTAAATCGCGAGAAGAAACAGCATCGTAAAAATTTTGGAGAGAATCTCATCGATGCCAATTGGCGCGAGCAATTTCGCGCAAATAATCTCAACGAGAGTGAATTTTCATCGCGATCACGTCACCTGTGCGACGTTTATTCAAAATTAAACGACTGGCTTTACCCGATGATGAATACGTACGTCACGATTTGCCAAAGTTTGTTGTTTGTCGACACAAAAATACCGTTTGTTTTATTACACCGTATTCGTCTCGAATTTCTCTAAGATATATTTATCCTCGAAACAAAACCCCACAGCCGGATATTGGACGTTCGGCTCGAAAGACATTTTATACATCGCAATAAAAAAAAAAAAAAAAAAAAAACTATTTTTGTGCGGTGACATCATTCCGAACTTCCGATTATGTCAATTAATCTATTCGCGCGCGAGTCTTGAACCTCGCGATCGACTATTTATTTTTATTCTTCCATTTGATGCGCGGCAGCTTAACACGTTTCCGCACAAAGTAAAAATGCTATAAGTGACGAGAAAGAAAAAAAAAAGAGCGTTTTTTTATCGGAAAGCGTAACGTTTTCTTGACGCTTCATTTGCCACCTCGATCGGCTTAAAATGGATGGGAATTACGTCGTGACCGAATGACGTTACGATCGACGACGGGTATAGTAGTATACACGATGACATCATTTGCAATCAAGTGATCTCATAGGGTCGCCGTGACGCCACCGAGCCCTATTCCGCCCGATCGACCAGGTGTTGCACGGACTAGCCTCGTGGATAGACTAAATGCCGTGCGCCGACACGATGACGTCACTGAATTCTATACCGTCCCGTCGAGCGCTCGATAATCCGGTTTTTCTGACGTTCTCCCGATGCCTACGCTTATACCTTATCCGGCCTACGTCGTCGTTTTGTAACCGCAACGGGTGAGATTCCCGCGCGTAAAGATGTCTCGATGTAAAGCACGGAATTATATCGCAATTATGACGCAAACACACAAAATAATTAGCTCACTCTCGTGCCCTTTAGAATCGTCATCTTGCGTAATTGGTCGTCGAGTCAACGAAGGAATCTCTACAAAAAGCAGAACCTTTTAGACGGAATAAATGTTTTGTTGAAGAATCACTTTTTTCGCTTTTCAATTCGTTTACCATTTCCTCGGTATTTTTGCATCCAGATCATCTAACATTTTTTTATACTTTTTATCATGTTAAACTTCAATTTTAGTTTCAACTCTAATTTTACAAACTAAACGAAGTTTGAAAAATTATTTTATTTATTCTACTCCAATTTTATAGACTGGGCGAAGTTTTATATTATTTGCACAGATTGCATGTGAAAAATGTTCAAATATTCTAACGGATCTAACTCGTGTGTGTATGTGTGTGTGTCTGTGTGTAGTTTTCATCACGCGCACCGAACATGAATTCGAGTATTTTCAACAAGAACGTCGTCTGTACGTACACAATAAAGCCTTTTGGAAGGTTAAATTCGCCGTGTTAAACAGAATTCAAACAGTTCCATGATATCCTTCGTCGAACGAATATCGATCTCCTTACATAGACACACGTTCCGTATGCGCGATCGGTCAACTTCGATAATTAATTCTCTATCGCTTCGCTACTTCACATGAATTACAGTTTAGAGATTCGTTTGTGTAAATGATTGCGAGACATTTGATCTTCAAACTGTCCTCGATGTGATCCTTTCTCTTTTATGTGCTAGTTGATGAGTATGAGTGATAAAAGAGAGAAAAAAAAGAAAAAACTAAGTTTGCAAAGAAGATCAGCTCTGTCGTTTGAAATAAACGGCTCGATCGACCTCGAACACATTTTAGAAATTAGTCCGTGGAAAGATATCAACAAATTTGAACAAGACGAGGCCGGTTGCATCCAAAGCTTGTTGAACGAATTCAGTAGTAGAATTGAACAAGAAAAATTATACCCCGCGGGTAAATATGTGAACCAACATTCAAAGTTTTGTTTGTATTATTATTTCTCATACACGTAATAAACTGATTCTGCCTGACACCTTGAGAAGCGATAACAAACCTGTGTGATTTGTAACGTTAATTGTGCTAGAATTTTTATTCTAAATTTCTCTTGTAGAAAAAATGCCTAAACAAAATATCAAAAAAGCGAAAAAAACGTTGAAAGATGAGTCGCAAATCAGCAATGCCGACTCAAAGGAGTATTCAGTAATCAGGTCCGAGTTATTGACATTCAAACAAAGTGAAATCGTGCCCGAAAGTGACGGAACGGAAAACCAAAAGGTAAGAGAAGAATATGCAAAACCAACAGCTTAAATAATTTTTAAATTTTAATGGCAAAAAGAATGACATAAATAAAGTTGTTTTTTCAGGATATATTACACACGAGCACTCCCAATGAACATGCAGAAAATTTAAGTGAAAAGAAATCGAAAAAAAAAAAATCGGTTTCGAAAAAGTTAATGAAGGATTCTGAGGATGAAGCGGTACAAACTGTCCCACAGAAAATATCAGAAAAGAAACAGAAGAAAACAAAAACCAAAGATGATGAAGGTAAGAAAGTAAAGCAATGAGATAGCATTTCTTTCACGTGCGCATTTGTTTTTTTTTTTTTTTTTTTTTTTACAATTTTGTTGGTTTCTCTCGATAATATAAGGCGAATTGTATTCAAATGCGACGAGCCAAACAAAAATGAAGAAAAGCCAACAAAGCGACTTGATACAAAGTGACCCGAAAGACAACAGTAAGTTAACTGCGACGATAAGAAAAACATTTGAAATAACATTTTCGTTAAAAGCAATTTGTACAATAGAAACATTAAAACTGATATCGCTGATTTGTCTCAATGTCACTTTCAAACACTATTATATAAATTTCAAGTAATTTTATTAACTCTTTCCCGTCGGAGTACTCAGAGGCACGGATACCCAGTGGTTTGTAATATGTATAATACACTGTGAGAAAAAAACATTTGTTGATTTAAATCAGACAAAATCTATTTCGATCTTTCTGCTGCCTGTTGCTTTTAGCTAAAGAAATTGTCGACTGATTGATTCAACGAACTAAAGATTCAATTGTTTACATCTCAAACCAAATAAACGTGTTAACAGTACGATAAGATAGCTAGAAAGAAAAGCGACACGATCGACAAAGCGATCGAGCAGCAGTTGTGTCGGGAAATACCTGGCTCTCGACTGCAACGCTACAAGTGCTTTGCCGAGAGAGATTTTCGAACTTCGACGGGAAAGAATTTAAATTATAAATTATATATATTAAATTTTTTTCAAATATATTTTCACACTCCATTTTCTTGTTTAAAAGAACACAAGAAAAAGGGCATCAACAAGAGTTCTAACGAAAATTTGACGGAAATGGATTCAAACAAAGCAAGAGAAGCTTCAAAGATGATAAAAGATATAGTAAAGATAAGTAGTCGAATGATAGAGCTTACAAGAAAAATGTTACGCATAAAAACCAAATTAGGTATAAAAAAATTTGGCAAAATATATATATAATGTTCAATTAAATTTTGAAATATTATTCGAAACAAATTCAAAGCCTTAAAAGTTAATTTTTAGACAAAGTTTTTTTCACGAAAATCAACGCAATCTGAAATCGATGATTTTCAAGTGTCATTTCTTGTTTTTTTCTTTATTTCAGAGAGTTTATTGCAGTCTTGTCCTTTATCTGACGAATCATATTTATCAGATGAGTCATACACGTCTTCAGTAAAAACAAACATGTCGTCAGAAACGAATTCCGATTCAGAATCGTATAGCGATACACCATCGTCGATAGAAATGACTTCCGATTCAGAATCGTTTAGCACGTCGACAAATAATAAATCTGATAAATACAATAAAAAATCTACAAAGTCATCTAAATTACAAAAAAAATAAAAATAAATGATAAATCTTCTAAACGTTATCACAATAAAAAGTAAAGTAGCGCGATAAAGCAAATTAATAAAAAATAAAATGTAAAGTTGTGCCATTTAATGTTACACTAATTTCAGTTTTTTTATGTTAATTCAGTTTTTATATTAATTTAATAAAATTTTTTAATACTTTCAAAATTAAATTTCATTTCGATGTTAACGTTACAGACAAATTTGATGTAATTTGATCCTGTTTATATTATATGTATGCAAATAAATTTTATATAAGCATTAAAATTACGTCGCGCAGGTGATTTTTATCCTTTTCAATGTTTTCATTTGATTTCCTTTATACACAAGAGATATATGTTTTAGCATGCAATTTTAATTCTACACTTTTTTTGAAATCTCGCCAGAAAGTCGTTGCTTTTAATTTGCTCGACACTTTTGCTTCATCTCCAAATTTATCGGTCTTTCGCCGCGCGAGGAAAGCACACACACGGACTCGGATTTGCGGACCATTTCGTGTACGAACAGCGATTTGAACGACCCTCGCTTGGAAGAGTTCGACGAACGTATAACAACGACGCATTCGATCGGGTGCATTAAAATAATGCGTATATCGTGCGGCTCTTAAATTAGTCACCATCATCTTTTTCTTCTCTTTCTTTCTCTCTTTCTCTCTCTCTCTCTCTCTCTCTCTCTCTCTCTCTCTCTCTCTCTCTCTCTCTCTC